GCGACCGGTGCGACTCCAGCGTCCTCCCGTCCCCATCGCCATCCTGCAGCTCCATGCCATCAACGTCGTCGCAGTCGTGGTGCTCCCTCGCTGCCACCGCGGAAGTCGTCGAGTGCACCACCACCAACAGCGCCCCGCCACGCACACAGGCAGCATTCCTCACCATGCCGCGGCCTGCCATGTGCGGGCAGGCAAACCCGACAGCATGGGCCATCAGGTGCGCGGCGATGCGGGTGGCGAGGCGTCCGTGAAATAAGGCGGCCGGGCAATGTTCATGGCGCCAGCGACGGGACGGCCATCCTCCAGCGTGGCGCACGGCAGTGCCCACACACCACCCGGCGCAGCAGCCACGTACTGCACTGTGTCAGAATTGGCAGCACCAGCGGAACAATGCTCAGCAGGCACAGTGAACCGACTGCAAACACTGCCCGTGGCGAGTGACGGCACAACCAACGAACCCTCCAGTGGCTGCACGAGCAGACGATCCGCATGCGGTTTGACAGCAGCAGGGACAACCTCCTCGGCAACAGCGTTCCCGTGCGCAGACGACAGAGCACCATTCATGCAGCCAAACGCGCCGTCCAATGCATTCGCTGTGCAACACCAGGAGAAGCCGCAGTGCCTCCTGCTGCCACACGGGTCCGTTGTTGGCGCCTTGATGCGGACGGGCACCCATCGGTCCCTACAAACGACGCTGCACACTTGCAACGCATCCTGCGCTCCGAGAGGCACGTCTCCCACCACACCCGGGGAAGCCCACACGCCGCCGGCACGCACCGCATCGTCAAGGAAACAGGGATACGTCAGGATGACAGCAGGACACCCGCCGGCAATTCACATCGCAGGCATCATCACAAGCAGCAGCAGCAGCAGCACTGCAGGCCGCGGGGCGACGTGGATCAACCGACGCATGGCGCATGTGGAAGAAAAAACGTAATGGCCTGACGAGGATGCAAGAGGCTGACGCCTCTACAAAAAGAAAGAAACGGTATGAGAACACAAAGAGGAGATTTAAACGCCCGCAGTCAATGCAAGCCACTGATAAAAGGGTTGAATGAGTGCACTCAACCACAACACGAGCAGAGACTCAAAGAAGAAAACAAAACCAAAAAACAAGAAGCCGAAGCGTGGGACGACCGAAGCACACACACTCTCATTGCTCCCGTAAAGCAAAACACACACAAAAGGGAGAGAGAGAGGTCGCCCACTCAATGCAATAGAAAATAATTTAAAAAACTGTTACGGTGCTCCGCCCATGCAGCCAAGCAAGACGGCAGCGGTGCGTGTGGCTCAAAAGAGAGTACCAACGGGCCTGCATGGGTGTGCATTCATAAATACGCGAACAAATCATGTGTGTGCTTATTAGGCTGAGGTGAGGGCGAGAGTCCATGCAAGGGGACACACACAGAGAGAGAGAAGGACGAGTGTGTGTGCGGGCGGTGCACGGCTCTCTCACACTCACTCTCACGCGGCCACCACCGCAGCAGCAGCCGCACACGCAAGAAGAAAAAGAAAAAGAGGTGAGGTGGTGTGGGAGAACGCGGTGCTGCCGTCACTCTCGTCAGGCGTCCTCGTAGCACTTGTTTGAGCGGCGGTGGCTGTTGCTGTTGCTGTTGGTGGTGATGATAGTGGTGTTGGTGTTTCTGTTCCTCCCTCTCCAGGCTTGTTTAATTCTGGTGTACCTTCGCCTGCGGTTCCTTCCGATTGACCCAAACCACTTTCCTCCGAACCGTGAGCCTGTCTCCCAGAGGAACCACCGGCATTCGGTTGGCCACTCCCAGTCCCGCTCTGAGCGGTATTCTTCTGTAAGGCAGCTTCTTTGAGTTTACTTGCATTAATTTTCTATTCGCAAAAAGTACGTTGAGGGAAAGGCTTTACAGAATACACCGTATGCGCCGTAATAATGTTCATTCAACGATTCGCCGTCGCTGCCAAAATCCCACGCGTAGCCACCGCCGGCACCGCACCACAGCACGCAGAGGGCACACACCAGCAGCACACGGCCAGTCATCATCATCGCCATCATTCCTGTCACTTGCGTGCAGCTTTAAGCACAAAATAACAACACGTCAACGCAGAGCGGAAGCAAAGAGAGACAAGTCACACAGCCACGCACCGTCCCATCCAGCAATGAGAGTCATGCACAAAAACAATTGGGTGAGCGCCGCTCAAAAACAATCAAACCAGAAAAAAAAAAAAAGAAGTGCTCCTCGCCCGTGCACCGTCCCTCACACTCCCACAGTTACTATTACCGTTATTCTCTCTCCGCAGTCCCTCACCAGCACGCCGCGCTCACCTCAACACACGCCCCTCCAGCACAGGCCTCAGGATCGTCGGGCCCTCCCAGCACAGGCAGTCCGTCATGCACTCCCGCTGCGCCGCGACGTCAGCGACCTCCTCCCAGTCAAACAGCTCCGTGTCCTCCACATCCTCACAATCGCCGGCATGACACCGCCACACAACACCCACAGCGCCACAACGTCGTGCCGCCTCTCCTCCCCAATCATGGGTGCAACACCGAACGCGTACCTGCGCACGTGCTCCATGCGCTGGAACCACCCGCGGATCAGGTCGGCCGTCATGAACTGCATCTTGTTGTCCTCCTTGTGCTTGGGGAAGACCCTCCCATCCTCTCGATCCACGGCCTGGGTGCTGCGAGAGGCTGCCGAGAGGTGCCACTTTTGTAAAAGATCCAAATTTGCGGAAACAACGGCCACTCACACTCCGTCACACCTCCGCTCCCTCCAATCGCCCACGCACAAGGGCGGTGTCATGGGAAAGAGAAGCCCGCCGCACAACGCATGCACGAGGGCACAAACAAAAGCAACGCCATCCATGTCGCACCGCAAGATAGAGCCATGCGCTCAGCACACACATGGCCGCAACGAAAGAGACGGGCGGATCCAAGTCCACGCTGCAGTCCTTTACTTCCCCCCGCACCCACGGATTGGCAGAACGACTCACAGTGACGCACGGCGCACACCATCCGCTCTCCTCCGAGCGCACTCAGCAGACCGGCGCCCAGTCACCCTCGTGCCATCGCAATGGGGAGCACAAACAATCGTCGTCGCGGACCATCGGCGCCACCAGCGGGAAGGAAGAAGTGGGGGCATGTCAACAGCACAGCCAGCAGAGAGACACTCAACGGGACACGGAGACACACAGTGACGGTGGATACGGTAACAATGGAAGCACGCTGCAGTGAGTTACCAAAGAAAAGGAAAAAGTGAGAGTCCGGCATGATCCTCAAAAGAAACAATTAAGGAAAATTAATTCGGCAGAACTTTTATTTCATGTGCCATGCAACGCAATAGAAACGACCGTGGGTTTCTGTATATACATATTGCCTGCGCAACAAAAAAAAATTAAAGAAAAAAGATCGTACCGTTCCACCAGCCCACACAACATCCCTCACATTTCATTGCAGCATCCGGCCTGTCCCTCCGCTCCTCCTTTCGTGCAGTCCGTGGGACGCACAGCAATGAGGCCGGCACCGTGTGTGGGCAAAAAAAAAAAGCAAACAAGAGGGGAAACAAATCACTCATCACGGTATTTATTAACCGAACACTGCGCAAAGAAAAAAACAACAGTACTGATTATAACAGATAGACT